CTCCATTGTTTACCAAGCTCACTCACTGAGAAACGAGAGTTCCACTCACAAAAAATAGAAAAAAGTTCATTCTTTTCACTTACAGTTCCATCAAAATGTTCGATTAAATTAAAATTTACAATCGGCTTAGAATATTTAAAATCTTCACTGTCCATTCGGTTTATAATTGGATTCAAAGCAATGTCTAGTGCAGCCCGTTGTTTATTTATTAGTTGATTTAAATTCATTTGATGGGAAACGTAGGTGTTTTTTTTGTTCGTTAATGAGAAGAAGGTGTTGTTGAAGGAAGAGAAGAAGTAGGTCGTAGTCATTTTGATTTGTTTCCGTTTTTAATTTGTTTACGATTTGTGCTAAGCTTTCCGTCACACATGGACAAGTCGAGAATAGAGTTGAGTTGATAACGCCATTCATAGCTGAAAACATTTCATTTTGAGTCTGAATTTGGTGTTGCATGATTAGCCAACTTTGACTGATTGAATTAATATGATTTTTATATTTAACTTCAATTTGCAGTTGTACAGCTGCATAATTTTCTTTCAAATTACGTGGTTCTTCACTTAATGATTTAATTGTTTCATTCAGGTTGTTATTTATTATGGCCCATAATAAATAACAACAATCTTCACATAACATTATCTTCACACACAACGGTTGCGTGTGAAGATAATGAAGAAGGTAATGAAGGCCATTGATTTTGATTAGAATAATTGAATTTAATGCATGAACGTTGCGGCTGTTGATTGATTTTCAATTGTTGCTCGTGTTGAGCTGCTTTATTTTCTAACACTCTAGTTCTTTGCTCAGGCTCACGACATTCAGGGGGAATAAACAACTGGGCTTGTGCCGGTAAAAGATCAGGACGACTTCGTAACTCAAGCACCAATTCTCGACGATATTTCTGAATAACTGGACATATGTAATCGGTAGATGTATGAATTCCACCGCAATGATGACATTTTATTTCACACATTTTATGATTTTCACCATCATTTCTGTTTTTTCCACACCTTCTGCACATTTCTACCTGTGAATTTGAACATATCTTTTTAATATGACCCGGCAGATTGCACTTGGAACAAATTAACAGTTTCGGTGCGGGTAAATATTCATCACAGTCGAGTAGCTGGCCAAAAATTGTTACTTTTCCACTGTTCAACATTGTATTATATTCAGTTTCATCGCCCAAATCAATTCTAATGTGCCTGTTACGTGTATTCGAAGTACCGATAATATCCTCTAGTGCATATATTGATTTGAATCTGGATGCTAATTCATCTTTAACTTCATCGCTTGAAATTGTATTTTTTACCCATTTGAGAATCACAGATCGTTGAGGTGGAAGATGCTTAGGTGGATGTGTTATCAATTTCATTTGGATAACGTTGAATATTACATAGATACACGTACAAATCAATTTCTTTACTTATGCCTTGAATATTTCCATCTCTATCAATCCACCATTGATCAAAACCGAATGGATTTGGAAAAGTTTGATTCTGTTCACGAAAATCTTTTCAATATATTTAAAAAACAGACGAATAAACTTGGCTGCTAATTTTTGCTGTGTAAATTTAGGATCACATTCGAATTTAATAGGTTGTAAATGTATTTCTGCTGCATAGTTCAATGCTTGCTGAGAAATTTGTCTTTGATGTTCATTTTTATTTTGATCGTGATCATTGTTGTTATATCTGTTATTATTATTCATTTGCATTCGTCCTTGTTGATTATTGCGTTTTTCATTTATACTAGAATTAGAGTTAGAATTTGTGTACGTTCTACTTGTTGTTATTTTCGAACGTTCATCTCTTGCATTATAGTTTGGTCGTTTATGTTGCCTGTGTTTTGTTTGTTGTCGGAAACCTTCATTTTCTTCAAAATTATTTTCATCGTGGTATTGAATTTCACTACGGTTTGTTGAATGTCGTTTTAATGAGTTTACCGTATCCCTTTGGTCAATTATTTGAATTTCTTGTAATATTTGTTGAAAATTTTCACCCTCACATAGATTATCTTCTTGTGGTGCTGTAAGATTATCGTATCTGTTATCACCCATCGTCAAATTTAACAAATTTCAGGTCAAAGATAAAAAATAAAATAAAGAAGAACACGTGCACGTATACGTACAGTATACGTACAAGTATACAGTTAGAAGGAGAGAGAAAAATTTGATGTTGACAGTATCGTGTTAGGGAGAAATGGCAATGAAAAATGCCATTGAGTTGTTTTCTTTACACCTTAGTAAAAACTACTAGGATTAGTGGATCTTTAACAACTGAGCTTAGGCGTATGACGTTCTGGATGTATATTCTACCCGCTTTCACGACTCTTTACGCTATTTTTCCATTATTTACTTCTAATGAACAAAACGACATTTCGCATTTTTATTTTAATTGTTTAGGACGGATATTTTCTAATACGTTTTCATATCATAACTATTCGTTTGTACATAACCTAAAAGTAAAACATTATTCCACTATTAATCTATCATAAATCGCTTACTACTCTTTTTTCAAATTTTTAACATCGAAAATCACAATATAGATGCGGACATCCAAACTGACAGGCCCTTCGATTTGTAAACTTTTTATTGACCTAGACACTATTTGTATTATTAGTTTTTATGCCTTCAGTGCAATTGAATGCTTCTTTCGAGAAAGCTAGCTTAAAGAAGTCAGCTGTCGCTGTTTTTGTTATAGCTGACGTAATATACATTTTTTTGAAAGTTTCTTTTTTTCAGTAAATGGTCCGAATTCTTTTCTAAAAGCTTTATGTACAAGGTATTATTCCCGCGTGCAAAAAATCCTATGATTTTAGTATCATAGAGACAGGCTGAAAACGAAGGGACGTTTATGTGAGTGCGTTACCGATATGTTTGTTTCTTATAAAACCCTAACTATAAGCTGAATAGAAACGATATTTATATTGCACGTATCCATTCGCTAAATTCCAGCTGTCGTACCAGGTGCGTCAATATGATTGAAACATCGCAAAAATAATAATGTATCGGTTTTTAAGACTTGATACAAATTGCCTCATCAGAAATATAAATTGTGAAAGCAGTACGATTGATGAGAAAGACTCTTTTTGTTTTTTTTGTTCTCAATGACTCACAAAATTGAGTTTTAATAAAAGAACATGGTATATTTATGAGAACGCAAAATGTAATAAATAGAAAGTACATCTTTCACCTTCAAGTTCTAAAAATTTACCCATTCTTCTTTTCTTATCTTTTGCTAAGGTAATATATAAATAGTTTTATTCCTTTCAGTTTTATAATAGTCATAAGTCACATTTTTTTTTCTATAAAAGAGAGAAGAATAAACTATCTTTTTTGTACCTGAAATAAAGAAAAGTTAATTTTAGAAAACTTCGTGCAAGTAAAATATTAACCTAACCATATTGTGTTACACTTCAATACGGCTTTAACACTCGCCCATCTTTCTACAACTTTAGAAACTTCAAAAAAATGGCTGCTACACTTCCTTCACTAGCACAATCACGTTATACAGACATAAAAGAGGAACCGGTCGGAAAATTATTGGTACCTATCAAAGATTATGATACCGAACAACTTCTTCCATTGGAAGAGGCAGTTGCACCGATCACACATCTCTTCATTGATTTGGAGGAATATGTTTACATAGCTAAGCACAACTGTCAACAACCCGAAGATGGATTGACACAAGATGAAAGTGCTGCACTACATCTCTATACAATGCAGTTCTCAGCAGGAGACAGCCTGTACGTCATTCTAAATCAAACACTTCGGTCAGAACGACGTGATTTCCTACAACCGTTCTTTAAATTCCTCAAAGTATTTATGACTGCCCTCTTCAAATTAGATTTTATTCGTGCTACTGTATGGCGTGGTGTACGCGGTGTCGATTTGAGTCAGAAATACAAGACAGGTGTAAAATTTGCCTGGTGGGGAGTTAGTTCGTGTACAACGACACTGGATATATTAGAAAAGTCAGATTTTCTAGGGAAAACTGGTACACGCACCGTCTTTTCAATTGAATGTATGAATGGAAAATCAGTTCTAAAGCACTCCTATTTCAGTGAATCAGAGAAGGAAGTTATTTTGATGCCCGGTACATATTTCGAAGTTATGGGACAGGCAAATCCGGCTGAGGGTCTTCATATTATTCATTTAAAAGAAATTAAGCCACCATTTCCAATGATCAAGCCACCATTTGTCAAACAGCAGCAAGGACAAGCTACCCCTTCAGGTATTTTTTAGAAGTTTGTACCAAACTGCGCTGTGAGCGATCGATCGATGTAGTATAGTTTTGTCTAGGGGGAATAAAAGGAAAGGTGTTCTATTCTATACACATGAGCTGCGGTTTACTGATCATAACTGAAGTGAATTCAGTGCAAGGGATAACCAAAAAACGGACAGGAATCTACTGTGCTATCTCTTATGATCCTCGATTACTTATAGGTTCAAGCTCAGGATCAATCGAATCATCTAGTATAACAAAAAGTGCAGTAGGCCGTGAGAGTGACAGTTCATCGTACAATACAAATTCGATTGCTGCGTCTGTGTCGTCGGAAATATCGACCATTGAAACAGCAACAGCAGCTTTAAATCTAAATAAATTACAACAGAAACCAAGATTGTGTATTAATATCAATAAAACTGACCATTATCGTATAATGACTGCAAATGATAAATATTTACTTCACAAAGTTAAAGATAGACTCTGTCTTATTGATGTCGATGGAAATGAAATATTAAATGTAAACATATATTTTTATGTGTGGGATATGTGCTGGTCATCATTTCTAAATCAATTTTTGATACCGGAATATATGGGTGACAGTAAACTCTATTCATTAGATATCAGTAGTAACAATGGGTTGATACCTGTTCTAAAGTTGGATGGAAGGGTGCCTAGTTGTAGTTGTTACGAAGCTATATTGCTTGTAAGCAGTGCGGGAAAAGGATCAATTATTGAAGTTTATGAGATGACAGACTCGAAATTAATTAGAACCTACAGACCACCTGTATCGTGTAAAAAAGATCAAGAAATTCGGATGATTCGATTCAATAGCAATGGAACATGTGTAGGAGTCGTTTTGACCGTAGGCAGATTCCCACACTACGCATCAGCTTCTTTTGAATTACGTCAGGCATCCAATATGAAAGTAGTACAAATTGTCAATTTAGGTAAAGACTCGTCTGATGTTCTTGCATTACCTAACGAACAATTTCTACTGAGTTCACATGAAAACAGAAAATTATTTCTAATTGATTCAAATGGTCAGCTGAAAGAAACAATTCCATATGATACAGATGTAAAGTCAACAGCCTTTCTCACCGACAAAAAATGTCTTGTTATACAAACATATGAATCGGCTGAACTTCGTTTCTATGATTTATAAATTAATAATCTCTTTGTTAACTACTTTTAGCCAACTACCACTTCCCCACTGTATGCAACGAATTTCTAAGTGATTATTGGAAAGCAAGAAGGAGAGGAGCTCATCGGTACTTCAACTTAGCTATGTGGCAACCAAAAGTGAAAATGGAAAACGTTAGAAACGTAAACACCGAAAGATGATTCATCGAGTTCCTTTAACTTAGTGGTAACGCATACGTTTTTTTAAGTGCGTATTGAACAGGAAAGTCGTAATAGAGACTTGAGATTTTTAGATGGGCTGCCATATATTTCTAGACCTTTTACGAACTTTGCAGTTTCGACTTCTTCTCGTCGAGGAATCGAGATATCTGGTTTTTTTTATCTGTGTAAACGCTGATGATCAACCTATTTTCATCCGATCGTGTCGAAATTTTTAACCCTGATACTAGCCTACATTTGCTTAACCCAAATTTTTATTTTCAAAAAATATTATTCCAATCGAAAGTTGTAGCAAAAACAAAAAGTCATTACGTAAGAATACCGAGTTATGAAATTAAAACTCTATAACGCGGAAAGGACAAGTCTAAACTAATAAAAAAAAATTGGGTAGAGTTTCGAGTTATAATCGTCGCGGGATAAGCTCCGAAAAATGATACTTTTCGTAGAATTCGTATAACTCAGCCAAAAATGGGTTAGGCAGAGGGGGAAAGACCTCAACGCCTCGAACTCGGACTAGATGTATTCAGTCGCAAAAAAACTATTTCGTTCTGTACGAACGATGAAAAGTTTTTAAATTGAAAAAACAGAAGTCTCCATGGATAAAACACGGAAAACAACCAAAAATCAACCCAACGGACGAAACAATAAAGCATATCTAACACTCCGTCATTGCAGACCGCAACGAAGTTAGCGTCAACAGAAAAAACATGTAAAATTTAATTTCTGACATTTTTGGTTCCAGAGCCCGATGCTTGCTTCACGGTAAAAAGTGCTAATTACTTTTTCTGCTGAGTTTTGATAATTTAAGGGCCAAAATAACGAACTCTACTACCGTGAAGGTGATTCCGACATTTTTTTCTCTAATTTCTCGCCTTATATCTTTGGAACAAAATGACATCTCAAGCTCGTGATGAACTGTTCCTCGAAAAGTATTTTTTCTAGTAATTGACGTTAAATATTTCTGTCATACACTAGCGATAAGCAGAAATATAATAGTAAAATAAAATATTGATATTGATAAGTTACATAGGTGCATGTTTTAAAAGAATGAAACAAAAGTAAATTTCACGTCTATACAGAGGGATGGGCGAATTTCCAAAACCTAGAAATAATCGCTTCTCCTACTATTCAACTATTCTGCCGAACAAAAAAAATACAAAGGAATGAATTAATTATGCATCATCTGCATTAATCTATCTATATATCTGGCCCGACAGATTACAACATACTATCAGTACGGGATAATATACCAGAACACGAGAGTAGATGAATACTAGAATAGTTGAATAATAGAATACACACTATATAATATTGGAACACTAGCATAGTTGAATAATAGACTACATGAATATCAGAAAGCTAGAACAGACGAATACTAGAATACATGAATACTAGAATAGTTGAATAGTAGAATACATAAATGCTGGAATAGATGAGTACTAGTGTTAGACAGTGGTTGGAATCACTGTTAACTTGACTTGTCTGCAGTTAGACAACTCCTATCTTTTTGCTTGACTATATATTTTACTTGAATAAAACACTGAAGTGCACAGACTGATGGATATGACAAAAAAACTGAAACTGTTTGAACTATTTATTGATTTAGATGGTTATTGTATTTTAATGTACTTTTCTTGACCTTTGGTTTCTGCAATGCATTAGTTGTTGTCACCATCTGCTTTTGATCTGTCTTTGTTATTGCTCGCGTAATTGCTGTCATAACTATTGGACATGGATTATTTGGATCATCAAAACTATGGTCGGTTTGGGTTGACTGATCAACAACAAGTGTTGCATCAAGTGGAAATCTTGAAAGACAATCTAGCATACAGTTTTTACTGCCTTTGATGTATTCAATGTTAAATGAATATGCTTGTAGTACCATTCTGCACCGGTTCAGTTTTGGATTGTTTTGATGTTGACGATTCAACCAACAGAACGCATGATGATCCGTTTAAGGCCCACCCCCCTCTCAAAAAAAAGGAATTTTCGACAAAAATATCGATTTTTAGATTTATACATAGTTAGATAGCCCATCATCTCTACTTTCGAATGCACTATAATTTATTGGTTTTTCGATGGTTTTTGAGGG